TGCAGGTATCAAAAGCAGATTCGGAATCAGCGTTTCATGCTCTATAAGATAGTATACATCCCATATGGAAACTGCACTTCGATCAAGTATCCTTCCCTTGTCAGAAGAGTTTAATCCATTGACGGTGAGAAGCTCTACAATCAAGCCTTCTACTACTTCCTGGTCGTATCATGGAAAGAGAGCTCAGAAAGGTACAGTTAACCAGTAAGAACTCTTCAGCTGAAGTTTTTGCTAAAGATTGAGTAGCTCACTTAACCAACGAAGGATTTCGTAAGCTTAGAATATAGAGTCCATCAATGATTGATGATACAGAGATTATTAATCGGTTGAGGCATTTGGTAAATTTAATGGTTGTTACACTCATACCAGCATGAGATTCCCAATCAGGGTCAAGCGTGTTGATGCGATCCAGGACCCTCTTTTACCCGCTCCCCTCCCCCCCCCCCTATCTGTACGACCCCCACCCCCCACACACACCACCCCCCCCCCCCCCCCCACTTCCTTTTGCGATAACCTGCATAAACAAATGATCTCAAAAGTCGAAAAGTGCGACTTTCTTTGAATTTCAGCATGAAGAATATTGTGTTGACTTGATTGTTGAGCCACGCCCAAGAATGGTAACATCTATAAAACTGACGTTTCGGCTATGTCGCTTTCTTCAGAGCCTGAAATGGGCGACAACAATCCATAAACTACCCAAAGCATTTCGTCAGCCTCACAAGCACATTTTTAAGCTTTCTTTCGGATCACAAGCAAGCTGTCAAACGCAATACTCACCTTATCGCCGGTAAAATCTAAGTATAAACGAGCGCTGACTAAAGCGTGAGTAAATGATTAAACGTGTTTTTACCGGACCAGAAAATCTGATCTACAAATGGTGCGAGTTCGTGAGTGATGATTTTATTCCGTCATTGTTCTTCTGTTAAAACCTTATTTTTGACAATCCGTAACTTCCTTCAAAGTCTTTTAATATAAATGATAAATAGCCTATCTTGTAGCCGCAAGCCAGTAGTACAAAACACCATAGAAATGGTCCGGACAAAAAAGTTTGCAAAAAAAAAATTAAAATTCAATATTTCTCACTTTTCCAACTTTTTTCAGTGTGCCTCAAGTCCCTAATATATAATTTCTTCCTTTCCTACGTACTGAACAATTGGATGCCTTAGGGCCTCTCAGAGGAGCAACGTGGAGAGAAGAGTATCGTCACCGAAAAGATACCATTCTGCATACTCTTTATCTCTGATAAAGTGAGCATCACCATTCGGCGATGTCTGAGGAGAGCAGGGTTGGACAATTCAGTCTTGGTAGTAGACATATTCCCGAACAATTTAAAACGTATTCTTGTTCGGAATCGCAGTACGACCGCAGTTGCACTACTCCAAACTGTCTGATATGTCCCACAGCAAAGAATGGCGACTGTATGAGTACTGGGGTTGTCTACCTCATCTCATGCAAAGACTGCGGTGACGAGTATATCGGAGAAAAGCGCTCGCACTATGCGTACGCATTAAATAACATCTCAATGGTGAGGAAAGATCACGCTTATCCACTCCACTGGGCGCCCACAGAATGCAAGAGCATCAAGGAGTGAATTTTGAAATGAAAGTAGAAATCCTTGCGCTTGAGCCTCAAACATCTACTCACAAAACATTAGAAGCGTTCTGGATTCATTTCAAAAACCCTAAAATAAATCACAAGGAAGAGTGCCTTTCTATCACTTGCGAACTCGCACCGTATTAGATCAGATTTTCTGATCCGGTGAAGACATGTTTAATCATCCGCTCAAGCGATTAGTCAGCGCTCGTTTATACTTGAAAATTCCACCGGCGATCGAAAAGGGGGGTTCTGCGTGTGACAACTTGTTTGTGATCTGAAACAAAGCTTAGAAATTTGCTTGTGAGGCTGACTAGATGCTTGGTCGGGTAGTTTATGGATTGTTGTCCCCCATTTCAGGCTCTAAGAAGGCGACATAGCCGAAATGTCAACCTAATAAATATTGTTACTAATCTCGGAGTGCTCAACAACCAAGTCAACACAATGATCTTAAAAATGTCTACCGATGCACTTCAATCAAAATTAACGGCCATAGAAAGATAACTACTTACAAATTAGGGGATAATGCAAGTAGTGCTTCACCACTCAAAAACCTCACAAATAATTCTGCGTAAACTGGGTAAGTAGTGAAATAACAGCCAAAAAATCAGCATTACGGAACTGTTCACTTCAGTCATCATATTAGCGTCGCAGAAATAATGGCCGTTTTGCAAATTATCAATTTGGCGTAATATAACTTTTTGTAAGATCCACATTTCCGAGTGCGGTGACGATCGTTAGAAGCAGCAAACCTTTTGCAATACAGCCACATTTACTTATACTCACATCAAAAAACGGGCAGAAAAATATGAATTGAAAAACAAAAATGTTATTCTGCTAAAGCTTTGTTTTGAGAATCCATAACTTCCTTCAAAGTCTTTTAGTATGAACGATATTTAGCCTATCTTGTAGCCACAGGCCAGTGGTACAAAACACAATAAAAAAATTAATGAAAAGATAAATAATAAAAAGAGTAAAGGCACAATGAAAAGAGTTGGGACAAAAAAAGTTTGAAGGAGAAAATTAAAATTCAAAACTTCTCACTTTTTCAACATTTTTTCGTGCCTCAAGTCCCGAATATATAATTTTCTGATTTTCTAGATACTGAACAACTGGATATTTTTGCAAAAACTTTTAATAGGATGCCCTAGCCCTACGCAAACAGAATTAGGCAAAGCCTTTGACGATTGATTTCTTCAGAAAAAAAATTATGGTTCATAAAACGACCTCAACAGCTACCCATATTTAGGCGCCGATATCACAGCGTGGCTGTGACGGTCCCAGGATTTCCACCGAGGGGAAGGGCAAATTTTTTTTAAATGAAGATGCTTGGCGTTAGCCACCCACTCCGAAAATTTTTTAGTATGCCTCCCAACATTTTTGGCGAGTCCCCAACCTCGGAATTTCAAAAAAAGGCGTGGCAAGGCTAGTTTCAATTGCTCTTAATTTTATAACAGATGAGAATGGATGCCTCGTATTATAGCAAAATTGCAGCCAACAAGCTACGATAGCTCCGGAGAAATTTAGATGCAACCAGATAGGATCCCCCTTTTCTCATCTTTTGCTACCATATATAAAATCATAAGAAAATCCAATTTTACAAAATAGAACCAGATTCCGCCTAAGTAAAACAGGGCTTTTCCCAAAGTAGAGGTAAATTGCATAGATCCGTGAAAAACATTACAAGAAGGTCCAATAATTATTGATGGTCATTGTCGGTAAAGATAGTTGCTTTTGTCGAGTATGTGAGACTTCAGGAAAGCTTCGGAAGCAGGATTTCTGGGCCAATCTGTACATTTAGCATTTTTAGCAAAGCATATGTCCTTCAAAAGTGCTTTGAGCAAATGCCTATTAGAATATATACTGACTCTTAATTTCATTTTTATTATTTTCCGATTCCCACTCTTTCATTAATTTCTTGCAAAGGGCATGCACCAAATATCCGCTTTTTCATATCCTTTCAGGCTTACGGTACTTTCAACTACCCCCTTTTACGACCCCCCCCTCACCTTAAAGGCGTCCACACAAAGTGGAGGTTGGCGAGATTATGACGGCGTACTAGTGTGGGCCCCCATACTAGACAAACCCCCAAGTTTCGCCACAAAAGACTGTTTCTGAAGCGAGAAATCCGCTCCGGAAGTAAAAAAGTGGGCGGGGCGCCCCCGGCCCCCCCCGCCCACTTGCATGCTTTATCTCGCCTGCACTTGTTGCAGAGGGTTCTCGAAACAGGGATTTTTGGAGGTTTCGCGAATTTTCGACTCCATATTCGGAATCAGGGCTTTCAGAAGTCCTAAAGGCAAAAACATTAAATTCGAGTTGGGTGGAACGCAAGGGGCGCTCCGCCCACTTTGTTACTTCCGGAGCGGATTTCTCGCTTCAGAAACAGTCTTTTGCGGCGAAGCTTGGAGGTTTGTCTAGTATGAGGCCCACACTAGTATGCCATCATAATCTCGCCAACCTCCATTTGGGTGGACGGTGCCTTTAAAGGCAGTGTTCAGGCAAATTTGGGCATAGGTTTTTCACATGAAAATTAATGAGGGGGGTCCTAACTAAAGCAATGCCGAAGAGGCAACGCAAATCGTTTTTCCACGGCTGGGAAATCCGTCCCCGAAAACCCCATACCTGCGCCGTGACCTTAACCCGAAAACGACTCGCTCACTTTTACACTGCGTTGGCGCTGGGACCCATCCCAAGTGTTACGGTATGGCGCAGCCGCGGAGTGTTTGGGGATGGATTTCAGAGTCGTGAATGAATGATTTGCGCTGCCGTTTAAGCAATTTCTTCACTGGCCCCCTCGACAGTTTCCAGGCAAAAAAAACCATATGCCCAGATTTACCTGGGCAGTGCCTTTGAGTGCCCTCTTTACAACCCCCCTTTGCGACATTCACATCACACGTTTGATCCTGCTCCCCCCCCCCCCCCTTCACCTAATTTATAATTGCAAAAATCGATGATTAGTGTGAATGACAAAACTACTTTACATACACCACTTGTTCCAGAGTGTGTATGCAAAGTTTTGTTCCGATTTGTTGAAAGATAAAATTTCCTATTAGAATAACGTACAACCCGCAAACAAACTACAAAAAACATCATTCTGTTTATGAAACGTAATTGTTGGAAAGAAGTAATGCTATATCAAAAGCTCACTAAGATGCTTCTTTACTCAATTGCACCGAAGTATTTACTGAGTTTACATAGGCTTTGTTTTTTGAATAATTCCCGTCTAACAATCAGCTAATTCCTACGCCTTTGTCGAAGCGCTTCAGATTATCTTGAAGGAAAGAAACTAATAAAAGAATTTGTAAAAGAGTAGCAGGACTGCATTGTGCAGAAAGGAGTTGCTTCTCTTAAGTTTTACTCATAAAAAATTACTTTCTGTTTTCTCGAAACCATTCAGTTATTTTTAGGGTGAAGCATGGGTAAGAGACGGGTGATTGACAAATAGTCACTGGAATCCGCAACGAGATTTCATGTTTCACGGCTTGAAGGAAAAAGATAAAAAGCTTTTTGTCATTGCTCAAAAAAAGTAAGTTTTAAAGATAACCATAGAGATATCGCAAGACTCTATTTACAGTGTCCTTGACGGACCTCGGTACTATCCTTGGTTTAACACACGCAATACGCCATTGAGTCTTATCAAATGTAAAGAGGGTAAGAAACTAAGATTGATTAGATCTATATTCGATTAGGTTTCAACATTTTGCTCATGTTATTCTCAATGTTATAGCTCAGAGACTCGTACCAAACTTAATCTACTCGAAATTTGACTGGGAAAACAAAATAAATCTAAAAACAGAAGAGTTGAGCAAGAATAAAATCCGTCCAAAATGACTGCTTGAAAATCGTGTAATAAATGTAGACGAGTTATATAGTCAGTATACAGGGTGTCCGTAAAGTATGTATACACTGTTTGATCGTTAATATCTCTTTTCCCAAGAAGTCTTTTGCCTTGCCTTGGGAACCATTTTGTAGAGCTGGCTTCAACTTAGATTTACAGTATAGAACAAATCGCCCATCTCTCTTTATTACTGTAGGATTACGGTAGAAACTTGAAAGATATGGTATCAATGTGGAAAAAGTTGTCGTTTCAAAATTTCTTAAAAAATGTGAAAACGTGTGTAATAGGGTTTTTATGGACGCTGAGTTCAATACTCAACTATTCACAAGATTGCGAAGCCTTCTAAACGGTGTAGTCGCACTTTTTAGGAATATTGAAAGAATGGCCGCTACCTCTTACCTGGCTTAACTCTTCAATGAATCATCGTAATTATTGGAAACGTTGCAGTTATAATCAGCAGCTCTAATTGGCCTAGTGTAAAAGTTTCCAGGCTGTTTTATTTCATTTCTGAGGCAAAATATGGCCTTTCATGGCTCAAAACCCTCCTTGAAGTTTCCACCGTAATCCTACAGTAATGAAGAAAGATTCGCTCCATACTGTAAATCTAAGCTAAAGCCAGCTCTACAAAATGGTACCTGAAGCAAGGCAAAAGACTTTTTGGGAAAAGAGATATTAACGATCTAGTGTATACATACTTTACGGACACCCTGTATAATCCACGTCAAATACCAGTTAACGATGTCACCAAGTATCAACTGCCACGCGGGTCTTTAGAGTTACGGACTTGTGCACGAGGAGATACCTCAAACTTGCTCAGAAAATTATGGCGAGCACCCGCCGACCACCCAACGGGCGACGCCACGCCCATCCCGAGGGCGCATCGTTAAGTGCCCAATAAGCGCCCGACAGTGCCCGCGGGTGACCCGATAAGCGCTCGAATAATACCAGCGGGTTGCCCGACAAACGCCCGATAAATGCCCTGCGCACCCGGTGTGCGAATTACGAAAAATTTGAGAAACCATTTTCACTTCCGGTCTATCATGAGGGAAGCAATCTACACAAAAATACGGGGTGACGATCACACCCTTTCCCATCGGCGCTATGGCCCTATAACTAGCTCCAGGGCGGGTCATCCAAGAGACTTTCGACGACCAGAATTCGTCTTGTCCTTGCGCCCAAATGTGGAGGGTAGCTCTATTACCGCGCCGTATCTAACACAAGTTACGTTTTCTCTTACAGCGTGTAGAAATTGCGGCATTCAGCAAGGCTAGTGGCTCGCCAGAGTCGTTCTCTTGGGCCGTGGCCTAGCGGGCCGGGGCTTATCCGAAAACTACATCTGCAGGGAGTACTGTAAGGCCCGAGGCTCGCCCGTGTGGTTTTTCCTTTGCCGCGGGTGTTCCGATAAAATATTTGAGGCCCGCGGCCTTTCCGTAATGATAACATTGGGCCGCGGTCGCCAAGAAAATAAATTTAGGGCCGCGGATGGTCAGTGCAAGGCCCGCGCACCGCCGAAGAACACCGTTAGGCGCCGCGGGTGCTCGCAATAATTGTCTGAGTGGGTAATTAAACCTTTAGTAACAATTATAAATTTCAAACAAACGATATTGCACGCAAAATATAATATCAACTTAATATGAGATTCTGATTATGGCAACATTAGGGATAAAATACTTGATATGTTTTTGTATACCTGAACTATAAGCAAGTAAAGGCACCAAGAGTGTAAGTAAATATAAGGCACCACCAAATGAGATAAAGTAATGTTAACCAAATGACGCTTAAGTCATGAACGAGGAGGAGGTCGCCAGCTGCGGCGCCCTTCCCCCCTTTTTACTTGATTCTTGGCGGAGCTGCAGCCGTACAAAGAAAGAGCTTGCCGCGCACTCAGTTTTCGAAAAAAGTCAAAAATCAATCAATCAGAAACGTAGGGAAAATATAGAAATAATCGGTCGAGTTTCTCGACAAATCGTTTGCGCTTGATCATTCACAATAGATATTTGTGTACACATCAGCCAAACTTTTGCTTTGAAAAAAGTGAAATTTTTAACTCTCAAACAAGCAATTTTAAGCTGTTACAGAAGCTAGTTTGAGAAATATCAAGAATAAGTAGTAAGTATCTTTCCCTCTATCTTTGAGCTCATGTAATGAAATTTACTATTTCTCAGAAACTAAGTCTTTCATGGCACGAAAGCACGTTTTTAATTCCAAAAGTTCGCAGCACATTTGCAAGTGAATAGCGTCAAGAGACGTCGTCGTCATTTGCATTTAATAGCGTCTAAATTGCCTGTTGTTCTATTACGATCTTTAAACGGACAGAACCTGAAAATTGGTTGCTCAAAAAATAATTTCCGGTTGGATCACATGGGCTGGCTGATGACAAAAATTCGTTCAAATGCAAAAATTTTGCTCTATCCACTGAATGTTGATGATTCCTCGAGAGCATGGATTTTTGTGAAATTTGTCTAAAACAGGACAAGATGAGAGCAAGGAATCGGAAGCATACGTAAGCAATCTCAACAAATGCATATTTTAAAAAAGAAAGAAGTTCTGCGCCAATACACACGAAGCTTTCGCTTATTTTCAATCTGCGGGAATTGCGGATGGCTCAAAAAATGGGATGAACTTTTGGACAACCCTTTGCTTTTTTGTCCTAGATGCTTATAATCCCTATGCAAAAGTGTGTAAAATGCAAAAATGGATTAAATATGCCACGAAGAAACATACTTTCTGGGGGAATTGTTTGACAACGTGATCAAGTCATGAAAACAACAATACAATACTTTCAATCTTAGAAGTGATTTTTCTCATCGGCTTCCTATGAAGCGTTTATGAAATCTCTAGGTTTATTACATTTTTATTCAAGTAGTCTGATTCCAAATGAATGCAAATTTTTAGCGACTCGTTTAGAAAACTTTTGTTCGAATCAAGTGCTAGAGCAAGCGCCAACCTCCGCGGCTAGTTGACGCTAATATCATTAGTATTTATAGCTAATTATTGAAGACATTTAGAGGGAAACAAAATCTTGCTTTTTAGCTTATACAAAAAAGCAGCACATGATGGCTACTTGGCCACTAAGAAATTTTCCTAATAGTGAAGGGCATAGGAAGTTGTGTCGTGACTGTTTGAAACCTATTAATGGAGCAAAATTAGTGTCTTTCTTAAAATGTCATAAGACCACGTAGATTAGAAAAGGCAGATTCTAAACTGTATTCACGCGGTTTGTCTTCCTTAACTTCCTTTGAAGATTGTTCTATAGTAGGCAAACAGAACAACTCGCAAATAAATGTTGCATATTTCGTAAGTACAACCATTCCAGATTTTATAGGGTAAATTTCGCTCAGATAAATTCCGGGAGCAGGCGGTCCGCAAACTCGCGCTTTTCTGCAAGCGTCAGCAAAATTTTGGGGCGTGACGAAACCTTCAGCGAGCGGCACTTCCGTGTTCTGCCAGCGGGCAGCAAAACGAAATTTTTTGCTAGCGCCCGTCAAATAATGCCTTTCAGCGAGCGCTGGTCGAAATTTCAGCAGGCTCTCGGACTCTTTTCAAGCAGTTTCGATCGTACGCCGAGCAAAGATGAGACTCTATGTGGCAGAGGTGTTATCGATGGTTTAATTATCCGAGTTTAGGGTACTTTCTCTTAAGGAAGGTACCTACGGGCTGTGCGGTCCTTCACAAAGGATCTATGGCCCCCGAAAACTTTGCATATTCCAGCGGAAAGTCCACGATGTGGCCACTGTGCCGTCACTAGTCTATGAAAAGCCGCGAATGTTCTTCGAGCGTTCATCCAAAAGTTGGCCAACGTTCTTCAAATTTCTGCAAGTGCATCGCAAGAAATCAGCGAATTATTTTTCCAGTGCCCGCCTGCCCCGGCTATTATCCGTGGGTGGGTTTCTCTTATGCGACTGCGTTGTGTGTGGTCGTGCCAAATACTAACAATAAGAACCCCTAGACTTTGGAGTTTACGAATTTGAGCAGTTTTTTAGAGCATTGCAAGTTCCTGAATTGAAATAAAATATAAATTTTTTGGTAGCTTGAGCAGCAAACTTAAGAAAAGCTGCATCGAACACGGTTTAGCGGTCAATACGCCGCTCTGCTGATGTTTGGATGAGGAGAAAAACAAATTTTTGAGACAACACAATAAGCAGCAATCAAGAAATTTGAGTCATGTCCACTTGGCTTTCGAATTCAATCAGAGTCTTCCTTTATTTCTTTTTTCTTATGAAATTTTTCCTATTTTCGTCAAGGCCAGTCCAAAGCTTAACCGTGTTATGATGTTCACTTACTCACAAAGAAGTTGAAGAAAAACAAGGTAACGACTTCAAACACATTATATCGAAAGCTTTTAAAGTTTACAGTGACTCTTGCACACAAAATATACATTTTGGGCAGTTTTCAAAAATGGCAAATTTCGCACAGTAAATATAAACAAACAGCTCACTTAGTATCCGCTGCAACATTTTTTCCTCTTTTCAGCTGCCGTACTCTCAATGTAATCCGTTGATAAAGTGATGTGATAATCGCTGGACATTTTAACCGTTTTCACATTGTTCATGTTCCTTAACTTTCAGAATTTTTGTTCTGTGCTTTTGATAGTGCTTTAATGACGGCTGATAGGGCAAATGTTTCGCGATAGATGCATTTTGGCAGCTTTGCAGCTTGTATTTTCAGAATTTTTTAATTTATATTTTGAAGTGATCAAATTTGATGTTCGGTTTACTCTAACCGCGTAAAAACATGAAATGGTAAACATTAAAGGTAAAAATCAAAATCCAGTGAAAATTTTTCTCCTCTTTTTAGTAGTCGTTTTTTTGTT